GATAGATAGATAGATAGATAGATAGATAGATAGATAGATAGATAGATGATAGATAGATAGAATACTTTATTGGCCAAGTGTGATTGGACACACAAGGAATTTGTCTTGAGATCTGAACAACCAGACTGAAGATAGATTATCTTGGAGAAGGTCTATATGACTGGCTAACAGTTGACACCACTTGATAGCCCATAATTATCTTAGTTTGCGAACTTATACTCAAATGTAAGAATCCCCTTTTATGTTCTCTAAAGATAATGATGAAAGGCTTTTAAAGAAATGTGCATTTCTAAAGTTACCAAGTTTTACATTTTACCCTCAAATATCAATGATGTTTTTCACAAATCCTTTGGTCAAATATGAGAATTTTCAAGTTCAGAAACTTAAGAAGCAGGGGCAAGGGTTAGGTCAATATTTTGTGCTGATTTGTGAAAACAAAATGCACAAAATTGCCTCTGTATGCTGATTTTGGGCAAGAAGCAAAAACCGATTGAAGACTTGTTTCAAATCTTATAACTGGCTTTTAATTATAGCACTTGCAACAACTCTGACTCAGTTAATTGTCTCTTGGGTGCAGTTGATATATAAGCAACAGCTGTCTCATTTGGAGCTTTGTTGTAAAATATAAAAACGAAGAAAGCAAAGCACTTAATTCATCCTTACAAAAAGACATAAAAGAGAGCCCAGCTCAAGAAAAAGAATGACAGTTTGGATTTTTGTTTTTTTTAATCTTAGAAGATAAGTAGCTTTGTTACTAGCATCTGTTGATGTCTTTTATTTGGAGAGTTTAATTGACAATCCTGAATTAAGCAATATCGATGACATACAGTGGTACCTTGGTACTCAACTGCTTTGAAACTCATCTGATTTGTTACTCAACACATTTTGACATTAAAATTTTGTTCTGGTACTCATTGTTTGTTTGGTATTCAATGCATAAGCTAGAACATGTCAATGTCGGCTGCCTTGTGACTCACTATATTATTCCTCATGGGGAAAATTTGTTTGGTACTCATTGTTTTTGGTACTCATTGCACCTCCTGGAATCAATTAACGATGAGTTACCACTGTATAGGTTATGCTATATTTTTTCATTTTTATACAATATAGAAGCACTAGTCTTATATCCAGGGATTAGGTTTTTTTAACAACCGGTTCTGTGGGCATGGCTTAGTTGGTGGGTGTGGCTTGGTGGTCATGTGACTGGCTGGGCACGGCCAACTCAACATCACTCATGTCAAGGGCGCTTCTCCTCACCTGGCCTCTCATGACAGTGGGGATGCTGCAATGGTCATAAGTGTGAAAAATGGTCATGTCACTTTTTCAGTGCCACTGTAACTTTGAATGGTCACTAAATGAACTGTTGTAAGTCAAGGATTACCTGTACAAAAATACAAAAAGCTTCTTTGCTTGCAAAAAGCTGCCCTAAATAAATTAGATTAAAAATACATGCAAGCCAGAGTTACAAATCAGGCAGGGTGCCAGAGCATCTTGAGGAATGAAAATAGTTAAAATACAGTGATAACTATCAAGCAGCCAACTCTTGCTCATAAAGTGAAACCCTTTAGCAGAGAGATTATTTAAGCTCTCCATAAAAAGCACACACAGGAAAAGCAATCCTTAGATCCATTTGCACCACTTAAAGCTGGTCTCACTCACCTCACAAGATATCCTAAGGAAATCATCCAGATTTAAGGAAAGGTCACATGCCCCCCAGAAAGGCAATAAAAAAAAATGAGTACCAAGCTTGCATCCTGCCTCTTGGAAGTATACCCCAAAAGGACAGTGCCAGATAGTACTAAAGCAGTGAGGAAGACCTCCTCCCCAGATAGAAAAAGAAACCATGAGGCAGGAAAAAATTCAAACACAATACAAATAATTAAATCACAACCGTAGCTGTTGCTTGTTGAAGTTGAATAGGGAAAATTATCCCATCAGTAAACACAGGATTAAACTTCACCAAAAACCAGTTTTAGACCAAAACTCAGAAAAGGTATGTAAACTCACGTTTGAATGTCAATTTTTCTAGCTAGCCAAGAAGCCTTGCTGAATGTCACTCGTCTTGGTTTCCTGTCACTAAAAGCTTTGCTTCATTATTCAATTATTTCTTCAAAGTGCTGATTATCCAGGGAAGTATTTCCTTCCAACAACAATGTAAAAATATTAAAAACAACCCTTCCCCTTTAAGAAAGCCAAGCCCCAAAGCTCCGGAGACAGTAAGTCTAGGCTGTCTGCCAAGAATGTAATAAGGGTAGAAAAAAAAAAGGAGATTGCTTCTAACTACCAGTTCTCCGAACTGCTTAGAAAGTTAACAAGGGGTTCTATAGAACCAGACAGAACTGGTAGAATCCCACCCCTGCTTATATCTATTTACAAAATTTATGTTGAATTTTTTTGGTGGGAGAAACCCTTCAAGTAGGTGTTTGATTCCTGGTGACTGCTTAAACAAGTTCCTGCAATTTTCCTGGCAAGATTTCAGAAGAAGCTTGCCATTGCTTCTTTCCTAGGGCTGAGAGGGAGGGACTGGCCAACGTCACCCAGCTGACTTTGTGCCTAAGTTGGGACTAAATTTCCAGTCTCCCAATTTTGAGCCAGATGCCTTAACCACTACAGCAAAGTGGCTGTCCTCATAAATATTAACAATGGTTTAAAAAAAAGTAGAAGGGATGAGAAAGAGACAAATGGCAAGAATGCAATAAAGATCTGTTTAGCTTTTTTGTTGTTTTATTTATGCTTGATATCCTGTTTGTATATTAAAATATTTATGTTGGGCACAGCCAGGAAACGTGGCAAATTTAAAATCTAAATGCACATAAATAAAATAAACAGCAAATCAGAAGCAATCATTTCAGATGTAAGAATCGTTTTTTTTTCTCCTCAGCCAGGTTTTGATAAATAGTATGCCAAGTTTGGGCAAAATGCTTCTGTCCTATTTACAAACACAAAATAGCAAAAAAAAAAACATATTGAAGAAACGGAACACAAAAATTCATAGATAATACAATCAAGCAGAAATACAAATATCTTCAATATTTGTATAATTGTTCTTGTATCTCTTATCTAAACTGATCAATTCTGTCTTAACTGTTAAAAGGAAAAAGGAACACAACAGAGAAGGGAAGCCAGTAAGGCAGAGGCTAGAAGAAGGGGGGGTAGAAAGGTTTGGTGGGGGAAGAAAGGAAGGGAAAAGGTGGAGAAAAGCCACAAAGTTTTGAAACTAGATGGGAAAAAAGGAATCTTTTTTAGGGATAAAGGGTAAAGTATAAATTTTTCAAAAAAGATTTTGCAAGGTACATAAGATGATATCGTAGCATTGTATTAGAAATAGAAAACTAAAATGGTTTAAGAGTTGATAAGAGATCAAAATGTTGAAATGTTTAGTAATGATTGATTTTAAAATTTAATAATATTAAAGGGAAGGTTTAGAATATTGAGTTTTAATTAAAGAGTTTAATAAGATTATGGTATTGATGTTATTAGAAAAAATTTATTATAGCATTTGTTTTTGGAAAAGGCAATGGGAATGTTATAAGATTCAATATTTAGATCTACTGTTTAACTATGTATCTAATTATTTTGGATTTACTACTTAGATAGAATGTACCAAGCAGAATCGGATTGGGTATTTGGTGTTATTTTAAATGTTAATTTGATTAATTTAGGGGGGAGATAGAAAGGCATCATACTCTGATTAGTGATTTCAGGAGAAATTCTTTTTTTTTTTTATTATAAGGAACGAGACAAAGGGACAATAAAGAATGGACAAAAGATACAAATATAATGACTCAAATTAAGATGGATTAATTAAGATAGAATTAAGCAAGAGTGAAATGTGTGGAGAAACTAATATAGAAGACTTAGAATGGTAAATAAAATAAGTAATGACATGTAAGATGAGCATGAATATAATTGAAGTCCATGAAGAGAGAGATATCTGGGGCCAAGTTACTTTCCTAAAAGATCTTTTTTTTTTTTTTATGTCTTGTGTGTTGTGTGTTTCTGGGAGAATTAATAAAACCTTGCAGAAATATTGAATGAGAATAATGGTAACCAAGTCAGAAAGAAATAGATGAAATAATAATAATGAAATTGAATAAGAGTAAAGAGAAGTGAAGAGAAACTGGATAAGAGGTTTTTGTATGCTTATATGGAAATGGTTTAAAATAGAATTATAGGTTTTATCTGACTTGTTAAATTTATAATGGAAAAAGGTTCAAGTATGTAATGGTTAATGATGATTTGTTTGTTTTTGAAAAATTAATAAAACTTGTTTTTTTTAAAAAAAGAGGAAAATCTTCACTCTAAAGAGCCCAGATACAAATGAACCTGATAACTAAATCTATATTCTCTATCTTCTTAAATAACATTATAGGACTCATGCTTTGTATGTGTTCAAATGCAGGCTGAAAGTAGTGCAAATCACTATGGCCAGATTTCTCTGTGGCATTTGCTGAAGGTTATGCAGTGGCAACCATTTTCATGTTGTCACCATTGTATTATTAAGGTCCTAAACTGTTCTGGACTAGGCTGTTTGAAGAACTACCTTACCTTTACAGATTAATCCCCCTTGCATACTGAAAAAAAAAATCTAGCTGAATGTATCACAACCTGCTAATATTCATTAATGTGGTATAGAAGTCAGAATTCTTTGTTGGAGTCATTTCCTCATGGAAATAATTCCAACTGGAGATTAAGGAGGCTTCAACTGTGATAAGTTTTTACTGCAGGGATGGGCAATTGATTTTTCCAAGGGGCTGCATGAGAAACTGGGAGTGTTGTGGAGGACCACTATTGCCCCACATGCTGCTGATGCTGTCCTGCCTCCCTGCTGCTGTTGCTACCTTGCCCCCTGCCAGTGCTGGCCAGACAGGCTCATGGGCTGAAGAATACCCAGTGTATTGTATTGGGATTTAAAACCTGTGTGTCCAGATCTTCTGTTGACTTCCATTGTCATCTCACTTTGCAGAGTGTCGTTCGGTGTCTCTGGCATCCTAAACTGAATCAAATCATGGTTGGAACAGGAAATGGATTAGCAAAAGTATACTATGATCCCTTCAAAAGTCAAAGGTAGTAAATTTATTTTTCTCGTTTATATGTCACAAAAATGTTATGACTCCTGTTAGTTTAAAATCATAAAACAAAGATAATAAGCCACAATAAAAATTCAGATCATGATTAAAACAATACAGTAGGAATACAGTAATCTACCTTGCATGGTATCATCTCTCAGAGCCCCAGGAATTGTTGTATTGTGTTCTAATTTCATGGATACATAGTGTGAGTACCTGTTGAAACCTGTTTTTGTTGTTTGTTTGTTTTTGAAAAGGTTTACAATTTGTGATTCAAAAATACATTGGAACTTAGCATTATCTGTATTAACATTTCTGGAATGCTGCATCTAAAAATTGCAGAAGTATTACCAGTGCAATGAACCAAAAACAGCAACTCTATCTGCTGGGTGATTTATTAAACTGAGAATTAAATATCCTGGCCAAGACCGGCATTTTTGTCCCCAGTTGACTTTGGTGCTTGTGAGCCTGATAATTTTATAAAAAAAAGATTTTCCCGTTATGTCTAAAATAGAAGATTATGTTTTAATCTTGGTTTTTGAGATTAAATCACGTATAGTTAGTTGTTATCCAGAATAAAACCACTGTTTTTAATTTCAGCATAAATGGGATTTTTTTTTTCTGCAAGCAACAAAGGCAATACCCAAGAGATTGTCTCTGAATTGGTAAAAGCCTGATTCCCAGGTAGTTTTTTTTTCCCCCCAACATGCATTTGTGTAATATATTTATGCAGCTGGGCTCTTTACTCAGACAGTAAAGAAATAAAAACAGATTTCTGGTCTGTCCCACTGTTTTTGCAGCCCCTGTTATTAATGTTACAACAAAAAGTCAATGTGAAAATGAAAAATGTCAAATAGATGGTTCTTTCTCCCCCCCAATCTTTTTTTTTAATTAAAAATTTCTATCATTGAATTTGGACATTTGAACATCTTGCTATCATTTTGTAGTATTCTAAACATTACAGAAATATTTTACAGCACTTTTATTTTCCCAAGGGTAGAAAAGTGCTTTTTACAGAATAAAATGTAAGTTTCCATCTCAAAATAATTTTAAAAAAGGCTTATGGGGCAATTAGACTCATAAATGTGGGAACAAATGTAAAACAACTTCCCACATACGTGATTCTGTAAGTGAAAGGGTGGAAAAATTTAAGAAAAATTGGATGATTTTGTGTATTAAGATGATTTATTTTAACCCAGCATCAAATTGAAAAATCTTAGTTCCTATCATTTTCCAATTTTCTGCAGGGTGGGGGGCATGGTCAAGATGGCTACTATAACTTCTTGATTGAAGCCCCAAGTTATTTGCATGCATGAATCACATCTAAAAGGGGCAAGTCTTCAATGGCACAATCATTCCAACTTTTTGATCCTACTTCCATTTGTCTGAAATGGTATAGGGTTTCCTGCCTAAGCAGTGGGTTGAAGACCTCCAAGGTCCCTTCCAACTTCTACTCTTCTCTTCTCTTCTCTTCTCTTCTCTTCTCTTCTCTTCTCTTCT